CGGACCTGTGCCCCAGGCGACCGGGATGAGCCAGTCTGCAGTGTCCTGTGGATTTGAGGGGCGAGGATGAGCCCGACCGGGATGAAGAAATCTCCTCACAGCCTCCAGACACAGCCTTGGCTGGGGGATTGCCTGGCAGCGGGGCTGTCGAGCAGGGTCCCCCCCCGCCGGTGGGGTGGCACTGAGCTGAGATGACTAGAGAAAACTGAAAGAGGCATTAAACTTTCTGTTTTGCTCAACAGTTCAGTTTTAGGAAGTTTGTTGCCCATGGGGTGCCCGGATCTGCCGGGTGGGAGGATGGTGGGGGCCGCAGACCCCGCAGGGTGCTGGGCAGGGGTGGCTGTAGCTACAGGGCTCAGCCCCTGGCCGATGCCGCGTTGCGGTCTGCGGGTGGAGGGTTGGTTCTTCAGGTCCCCTTGGTTTGTCCCAAGCAAAAGAGGTGACCCGAGGCTGGGTGTAGCTCGCAGGGCTGACCTGCTTCTGAGCTCAAGAGCAGGGTTAATCCTGCAACATGCCAGGCAGTGGGATAGAGCCAGAGAAGAGGGCCCGCTCTGCACTGACGCTGCCCTGGTGCGGGTCGGGGCTGGGTGTGGCGGGGCCGGGCTGCCGGGAGCGGGTGACTCAGGGACGAGTCACGCACAGCCCCAGACGTCTGTTCTGGAAACCGCCATCCAGCAAGGCCGGGCAGCCCTGTCTGTGACTGGCCCTGGGGCAGCGCCAGGATTCCAGGTATTTGGAGCCGGCAGCGCTGAGGGGGGCCTGGGTGAACCTTGCCAGGCTCCTCTGTGGTCCAGGGTCTTCCTTGCTGGTGGACAGAAGCAGAAGATTGCCCCGAAGGGGACTTGGAAGCTGCTCTCCAGGGATGGAGATGCCCCTGCCTTGCACTGGGTGAGAGGGGAGCTGTATAGCTCTCCTGCGGCTCAGTGCAGGGTGAAATGTCTCTGTGTGGACCCAGCAAGAGCTCCCAGGAGCCTCTGCACCCCCGGAGGTGCCTCTCCCATGGGGCTGCCGGGACCACCGCCTTCCAGGCTGCCTTGGTGGCTGGGAAGCAGAGGAGCATCTGGGTGCTGCTGCTTAGGGCCTGCCAGAAAGACCACGGCTCATCCCAGCCCCGAGGGCGGGCAGGGAGGCATGGCCCTGTGCTGAAATAAGACTGCAGAGTTCCAACTAAATCTGCCTGTCCAGGCTCCAGCCGCCCAAGGCAGGGCTGCTACCTAATTTTGGCACCCGGCATTGTGCAGAAGGTGGCCTGGTGTCCATTAAGTGGTAGAAGTGGAGCAAATCTGTTGTCCTGGGGTCTTTCCTTCTTACATAAGGTTTCTCTGCTTGGTGTGTGCTTGTTGATGGCTACAAGAAGCCGAGTTTCTTTGGGGTCATCATCAACCGGAGAGATTGAGGCTGCTGAAACCCTTTGGATTGCTCTCTGAGCAGAAAGGACCACGGATGAATACCTCCAGCTTGAGGCAGAGCTGGTCTCTTCCACTGCAGCTGCCCTGCTGCAAGTCCATATGAAATAGCTGGCGCCAGCTCAGGGCTCAACAAGTCCTGGAGTGCACTGAGGGGGCAAAAACTCGTGGGGGGGATGTGTGTGCGTGCAGGATGCACGAGGGTAAGGAGGAGCAGGTCCCGGGCCATGCTCCCCATCCCATGCATTGCATCACAGCGCTGTCAATGCTCGATATGGAGGGGAGCTGCATGCTCTGGCCACCAGCGTCTCTGCTCTTGCGTGCTTTGGTGTATGGGTAATGTTTAGATTTGCTGCTTCCTCCTGTCGTCGCGAAGGACTGACCTGCTCTGCTGAAAACCAGGTCTTTCCCTGGTAAGCTGTGGCTATTTCAGAGCAGAGAGTTGCCCTGAGCAGCAGCGCTGAGCCCCTGAGGTCAGGAAATGTAAAATGCCACCTTTAAGGTCAACTTTTCATACATGAGAAGGTGTCAGAGTGCAAGTTTGTGTATTTAACACAAAACCAGCATTGCAGTTGAACAAACAGGCTCGGGCTCTGGCTAGCTCACATTTAATGTAAAAGCAGAGGGGTTTTAGGCTGACAAAGTAAGTGTCCTTGTGGGAACTTGCCCAGCTCTCGGGGCTTACCCTTCCTCCTGCAAAGCCCCATGTGACCGGTAAGTGCAGTGTTTCCTGTAGAAAGCACAGTCTTGCTTGCCGTTGCCTTGCAAAAAATCTAGTAACTCTTTCCTTTAGCATCGAGGCTGTGTTTTCTACAATATCCAGCTGCCTCCTCGAAGCATCCAGCACACAGGGACACGGCAGGAGAGGGGATGATGACCAGGGCTGGGGATTTCTCTGCTGGAGGCTGGCTGCTGTCAGGGGGTTGGAAGCGCTTGCTGCGGCAGCTAATGCAATATTCAAGACGGCTGTAGCAATGCCAGCAGGTGCTGCTCACTCAGAGGTCGGATGGCAGCCCTCTGTCCTTAGGGGTAGGGTATTTTGCTAGTTCCTGCATACAGACTATTTAGTTCCTAGCTGGGAGAGCAGCTTGCCTCGGTCACAGCTCCCCTTGCTGGGAAAATGCGCTTTTGCAAAGCAGAAGGTCAGCGTGACCGGTGTGCTGAATGAAAGCTCCCTGCCGACAGCCAGCGAGAGGAGCAGGAGGGGTTGGTGGATCTGCGAATGTGTGGCTGCTGCTGCCTGCTCGGACCCTCAGCTGAGCCCCAGGACATGGGCGTCCTCCTTACCCAGCCCAGATCCCCCTCTGGAAGAGAGGGGAAAGCGCTGCTTTGCCCCAGCCTGCAAGCGAGCAGCCCAGGGCTGTCTGCAAACGCAAAATGCAGGTGCTGGGTTCAGCTTTGCTAGTGATTTTATTTCTCTTGTGCCAGGATGGGAGGATATGGAGCTGTTAACACTTGGTTGACTCTGTGCCCCTCATGGCAGGGCACGTACCAAGCTTAGGTTTCTGCCGGTGAGGGTATATTGCAGATGTCGCAGGCCCTGCGAATGAGAGGTATGTCGGGGATTTGCAGTAAATCATCTTGACTTTGTGTCTCTCAGTGGGCTCAGCTGGCATGGGGAATGCAGTACAGAGCTGCCCACCAGCTTGGTTCAGGGTGTCACTTACTCTGCTTCTTCTTTAGAGATTTGTTTTCCTGAGTATAAAACTTCTGCAATCAGAGACACCATGGGGTCACTGTTCAGGCTGGCAGCTGCAGTCACGAAACCGTCCCTGAAAGGGAAAGCGGAAGAATGTGGATCTCTTCAGCGTACATAACTCAGCACAGCAGCATCCCCGTGGCACCCTGGCTGGAGGCCAGCTGTATTTTGGAGGGCTCAGGGCAGGGTGGCTGGTACTGCAGGGTGCACGGGGACTTGTGGCAGATTGCCTGGCGCTGCTGGGAGCTGGGCACCGAGCCTGGGAGCAGTGGGGCAGAGGGAGAGGAGACATGTCCCGGGCTCCCTGCCCAGCTGGTGTCTTTGTCGAAGCTCATCCTCTTCTCCTTCCCTGCCCTGCTTTGGTTTGCTCTGAAACCATCTCGCTGCTGATTCAACGGCCAGCAGCTGCCTGCAGCGTGCAGCTGTGGGAGGTGATGTGGAGCCTCTGCGGGAGCTCTGCAGGCCGTAAGGGAGAGGACCGTGCCCTGTTCCCAGGGCGCTGCCATGTCAGGGCCCAGACCAGCCACGCGTTCACTCACTTGATGTAAAAGATCAGGAACTTCTGTTGCTCCAGGCTGCCCTTCACAACAGTGTCCGTGTATCCCTTCCCGCAGCCTGCAAGAGAGAGCATCGCAGCCGGCTCTGGGAGCCCTGGTATGGCAGCTGCCACCCATCCCACCTCAGTGCCATCGCAGGTAGGGGCAGAGGGGACAGCGGCTTGCTGGGGCTGGGACAGGGCTGGGGAGCAGGCATGAAGGCGCTGGACAAGCAGAACTGACTCAGAGGTGCAAGACTGTGTCATGACCCCAAGCCTCTCCTTGGCTTGGAGAGGGAAGTTCTTCCTCTTTTGTGACCTCTAAGCCACTGGAGATCAGCAAAGAACAAAAGCTCTGGGTAACCTGCAGGCCCGGAGCTCAGAAACAGGGTTCACAAACCCACCACAGCAGCCAGTCCAAAACTTGAGCTCCTTCAGGTAAACTCTGCAACCACTGTGTGTTTACAAGCCCCAGACCCAGCTGGTGGATGAGCAGATGGGCTGAGAAGTGGTTTGGCTGTTCCCATCTCTCTGCCCCCTCCTACCTGCATAGCGGATGCTTTTCCCAAGCATCGTGGTCCAGAAGAAGGGGACAGTGTGCAACTCCTTGTCTTTCTTCAGCATATTCAATGCAGCAATGTGACCTGTGATGAACCAGCAGAGGGAATACTTTTGTTTCTCGTAGGTCCTCAAAGAAGTGCCCACTGCCTTTTGTTATCCTGCTGTCCCTTCTGCCCCATTCCCTCGATGCCCATCTCCGAGGGAAGCTGGAAAGCGAGGCAGCTGCGCTGTCTCACCATGGGCCTCGGCCACCTGTTGGTGATGGATGCTGGACTGGTCCCCGTTGAGCAGCGCTACAGGAAAGGAGACCACATCCCCCGCAGCGAAGACATTTGGGATGTTGGTTTGCATGCGCTAATGGGACAAAAAGCAATTAGTGCAATGATGAGAGGGATGGTACTGGGTGTGGACCAGGGATACTCAGCTTGGCACTTACCAGATCCACCAGGATGGCACCACTGTCATCTCTGCTGATGGAAGTGCCCTTCAGAAATGCTGAGTTGGGGAAGACCCCTGCAGAGAGAGGAGCAAGGACAAATGCAGCAAAGCTCTGCAAAGGGCAGGGAGGAAACTTGGCCTCGGCCCTACAGCAAGCACGTGTCCGTGGTGCCTGCTCAGCCTGCTTGGAGCAGAGCAGCTTGTGGCAGTGACCAGTGCTTGGGCTGGCGCTGAGTTAATCCAGGGCAATAAAACCAGAGCCCAGAACAAGGCATGCTCTGATAACACAGCGGTGGCCTACAGAGCCCAGCAAGTGTGCCAAAATCATACTGAGAGTGTAAGCAGCTCCTTTCCTCCTGCCATGGCTCATGGGCTGCTGACTTTCTCTAGGCGTTTGGGGCCAAGAGGTAGGGGTGGGTGATAACAGAGTGGGAAAGAGACTGTAGGAAATGGTGTCCTGGGAATGCACTGGGATGCTCTGGGCTTGCTGGCTGTTCTTCCCATTCCTGAAGCCACCTCTCTCTCCCACCTGGGGTCTCTTACCTATTCCCACCACTACCACATCTGCAGGTAGTTTCTCTCCACTGGCAAGAACAGCCTCTGTGACCTAGGAAGGAAGAAAGAATCATTAACAAAGACTTAAAAACTCTGTCCTAATTCCTGCAGCATCCCTGCTGCCTCATTCTTTGCTGTCTTTTTTCTTCCCCAGGTTCAGATCACCTTGTCCAGCTAACGTGTGTTGCCAGGAATGTAAGAGAAAATCATGCTGTTGTCCCTGAGATACAAACACATACTGCTGCCCTTTGAGCCCAGAGTTGTGCTCAATGAAAAGAAATGTGAGGGTCTAGACATGGGATAGGAAAGCCTAGATGTAGCCACTGGGTTACACCTCAGTTTGGGTTCTTTTCCCCCTAAAATTAGCAGTTCAGGGATCACAGTGGCATGACTGACCTTCCCATCCTTTCCTTTCAGCTCACAGACTTCTGTTTTCATGTAAAACTTCACCCCTTTATTTTGCAGCATCTGAAAAGGAAGAGGAAGCTGGTTTGAGTATTCACTAGGAAATTCCAGGCTGTACTGCTGTAAAAACAGCTGTTCCCAGCCAAAACCCAGGCAGGCAGCTTAGCTGCTGCTCCAGGCTGCGGAGAGGTTTCATTTGTGTCCCTGGCTGGTGCAGGGTGCCTGGAAGCCTGGCTTTGCTCTGCTGTCCTGGTCAGGACTGGTGTGTGAGGTGGGTCTAGGATGAAGCAGGGCTTGGGGATGAAGCTGAGCTGGGGAACGGGAAGCGTGTGTGAGGGAGGCTGGGACCAGCCATGTGTGCACAGCTCCTTCAGAAAGCTGTACGTGAGCAAGGTGGCTGGGCACGCGGGGTGATGACTCAGCGCAGGGGCTGGATTTCCTGGGCTGTTGTGGATCACAGGGCTGCTTGGATTGCATGTGTTCTCCCCCCTAGAAATTAGCACCAGGTTTTCCTAACCTTCATGGCGACACCTCCAACCTGAGGACCCAGTGCATTCTGGAAAGGGAACTCATTTTTTTCCACCACTGAGATGGCACCAGCCTTGTCTGAGAGGAAGGCAGCTATCTCCATTCCTGCAAGGGAAAGGCATGCTCAAGATAAGCCTGCTGCAAGCATGAACCTGCACCCTTCTCCTTGGAAACCTTTTCCCCTTCCAGGTGAGGAGAACAAATCTGATGTAGAGCCAGTGCTTAAGTGCTCTTCTATGCATTTCTGGGCTGAGGTATTTAGCCCCCCCTGTTCTTCATTCTCATGTGCTATGGACCCAGATATTAGGAAATGCAAAGAACAGCTCCTGGTTGTGTACAAAATAACTCCCTTTCTGTGCCTTACCCCCTCACTTTCCCACTGCTTCTGGGGAGTCCAGCTCCTCTGACGGACAGTGACCTTTTCATAAGGCACATTTCCTTCTGTCCGTGTCCAGGAACTGTTTATAGCTCTCAAAGTTTCTGGCTATCAGAGGAAAGAGTGAGTGTGCGCTGTGTAACGCATACCCCCACCAGCTACAGGGCTCTGGGGAGGAACCCAGCCAGGCAGTGAATGAACATCCCTTCCCTGAGGACCTCTACTTTAGCTGCACACGCAGCAGAAGTGGGTTTCAAGGCTGTCGCTGATGACTTGATATTGACTCCAGCCTGGTACCTATGAATGAAGCTCCTATGATCACCAGATTGTTCCCAGTTGCCAGCTCTAAGATCTTTCTAGAGTCTTCTGGGGTTTGGAGAATGCACACGTTCTGCAGGTCTGCACCTGGGACTTTGAGGGAGTTGGAGCTGAAAGAGAGAGAATCCAGATATGTATCATGATTAGAAATTAAACAGAAAGAATTGTAGCACAAACCCATGCAATCTCTTGGCTGTGTCATCCCATCCTGTCCTTTTATCTCAACTCCTACTACCTCCCTCTCACACGCCTCTAGAAGACCTCCAAGCCCTCTTGTCCTGTCTAAAACTTTGTGTGTGGCAAATGCTTTGTGCACTCACTGGCTGCCTGTTGCAATGAGCAGCTGGTTGTACTTCTGAGAGCACCCGTCCATGAAGTGGACCTTCTGTTTCTGGAAATCCACCGACACTGCCTGCAGAAGAAAGGAGGCAAAGATCAGACAGGTACCTCTGGTCCACTGGTGTCCTGCCACATCAACCCATTTTGCTTGCCTGTGACTGCATGCCCTATTCCTGGACACCCAGGTGAGATGAGGAATGTTGGAGTCCTCACTTCCTACAGGTCCTAGGCTTTAGGAGCACTAAGTATGACAGCACCAAATCTGGCAAGATTTGTAAGGGGTGTGCAGAAGGCTAGTTTCAAGGGCCACCCTCTTTGCATGTGACGGGCACATCCGTCCATGGGTAGCACAGATCAGTGTTACCCCCGAGGCATGCACGCCATCCCTAGCACTGGCCTTGGAGTGTTGTCCCAGAAGATAATGCGTGTACTTAGGCAGAGCCCTAATTTCTATAAATATAGCACTATGCCTGCAGGTGTGGGCATCCTCTCCCCGTGGCAGGGACAGGACCACCCACTGAGGACTGAGCTCAGCTGCTCTTGTACCTCTTTCTCTGTCCAGAGCTCTATGTCACAAGCATCGAGGAATTCAGATTTCCTCAGGTACAAGTCCTCAGCTTTCAAGTTCATTTTCTGGAAACAAAACAGAAATACGAAATAAAGCAATTCTTGCAGTCAGCAATAGTCTTGCAGTGTTTACTGGGAAATAAGTTTGCATAAGAGGTAAATTTTGCATTGGTAAATAAATCACAGCTCCCCACACTGCCCCATCCCCATCGTCTTTTTGTTCCCTCCTCAGAAAAACCCATCAACTCAAACTCTAGCGGGAAGAACTCAGTGAAAGGGGATAAAACCATTTGCTTATGGTGGACTCTGATCAAAGACTTTCTGGGAGGAAGAAGTGAGATGTTAGCTGGAAGTTATACCCCTTTTCCTTGTGGGTGCCTCAGCACTCCTGCTGCCTTGCCAGAACGGCTCACTCCATTGCTCGGCCTGGGCCTCAGGGTGGGCCACGTCCCTAATTCACACAGTGTACCCAGGCACAGTCCTGCCCTTCTCGCGTACGAACCTTGCTCAGTTTGGACTTGTCATATGGAACATGTTTCTCTTTGGTGGCCATGATGATCCTGCCAGTAAAGCCCTCTTGGCGAAGTGTCTCTGCACACACCAGGGCAGCCACACCTACAAGAGATGCTCATCTCAGCCCTCTTACATATCACTGTGGAGTAGGAGGAAGGCAGCAAGTCCTCCCTGGAGAAGAGAGTGGCAGCTCACAGCATTTGTGGGGAGGGGACAGTACAGATCACTGACCTCCCCCTAGAAGCAGCATCGTGTTCCGGTTGAGAAGGCATCGCTTGCTTGTGTCTTTCACCCTCAGGCTGCTTTCAAGATCCTACAAGAAAGTAAGTGAGAAATGTTGAAATCCTGCCAAGCCCAAAGTGCTGCTTGTGCTTAGTGACAGCAGGTAAGGTCAGTACCTTCTTTTTTGCTGTAACAAACACCTTTCCATCTTCCACTGTTACCTGCAGGGGTGAAAGGAGAGTGCATTTAAGTGCTGCATTCATGGGGTTGTGGTAGGAGCTTTCCTGGGAGGGTCTGGTCCAGTGGGCTATCTGTCTCTCATACACTGGGAGTGACTTGCAGGGATCTTGGATGTCAGATGACGCTGAGGAGCTCATGAGCTTTTCTCCTCATCCCAAGGGCACTCAGGAAGAGATGTAAATCCTTTTTTCTTTCCAAAAGAGCTGTGCTGGCGGTGATGTGCATCAGGATGTACGGCACCACATTTGATTGAAAGGAGCTTTAGGACAGGGAGTTACATGATCCCAAGAAATCATCCCATGTGTAGCTCTGTGTGACCTGGATCATGGAGCTGTGGCCAGGGCAGGATCCTTTCAGCTGGTGTTGGGAACACAGAGCTTGTGGGAGTGAATGAATGCAAGTGGTATGGAGGACATGGCCTAAGCTGGGAGGAGGAAGAGACAATAAGTCACCTTAAAGCAGGGAAGGCAGTCCAGAGAAGGGTACTCCTCGATGTCTCCAGTTTTGATGTTAAAGCAGGCACCGTGCCAGGGGCAGCGCAGCCTCTCCCCTTTGAAGACACCTGCAAAAGTGCCCCCCCCCAGGTCCCCGGGAAGGCCCCCCCCCCCCCCCCCAACCGAGTGGTGAGAGCTGACCTCCCTGACATGGCTGCTTCCCCTGCCCAGTGCCAGGGTTACCTTTGCTGAGCGGGGCACCATAGTGGGGGCACTTGCTGCCCAGGGCATTGAACTCTTTCTTGTTCCTCACCAGCAGCACTGGGTAGCCGGCCACCATCACCTCCCCCAGCCTGCAGGAAAGGTGGCGAGATGGGTGCCCCAGGGAGCCACGGATTGGTGCCTCGCAGCTCCTTCAACCAACAACATGGCGGCCGCCAAACTGGGAGGCACAACCACAGGGAGGCTTTTTTGATGCTACCCCTGCTGTCTGCAGGACAGGCTGCAGCCTCCTCCCCGCTGGGTACTCACTTTCCATCCTCAAAGTCTACTCACTCTCCATCCCCAAAGTCAGCCTCCTTGCAGACCTCGGCGGTTACGGTGTCATCGTCGGCCATGCTGTGGGCGAGCAGAGGGAGGGGTTGGCTGCCATGGATGCTGTTGCCTGTAGGCGCTGTCTTTTGCCCCTCCCTTGGCAGATGGTCCTCCCCGCGCGCCCTTGTGCAGTCGCTGCAAAATCCCACCCCAAAATGTAGGGCCTCCACCGCTCTGGCTGGGAGTGGGTTAGCACAGCATGCTCAAGGGGTCCCAAACTCCCAGTACCGTAGGAAAAAACCCATGCCCCCTCCTTTTTTAACTTTGTCTCCAAACCCAAAGCCCATTCTCTCTGCCCTTTTTTCCTTCAGCTTAACCCATTTTTTTGTGTTCAGCCCCTTGTCCCATTAAACTCAACTGCAGTGCGGGGTGAGCAAGCAAAAGTGATTAACGACAGCCATGTTGTAAATCAATACAATTATTTATGGCGAGGCACTGCCACCGTAGCCCGCAGCTCCCCCAAACTGGGGTCTGAAGAACCACTTCAGCCTCTCCCAAACCTCTCCACCATTTGTGCAGAGTTGTTATTAGCCCTAATTGCCATGAAAGCAGTAATTCCTGCCCAAAATGCCTTCTGGGCTAGAAAGGAGACAAAAACTTTGGTCCTTAGCACTGTCCCTGACTTAGCAATCAGCTGAGACGCTGATTAGAAATCTCCCTCTGTTTTGGAGAAAAAAAAGCAAGAAATGGAGCAGAGGAGGGTCATTCGAGGCAGGTTTCAGCGCAGAGCGTGACTTGCTCCTGCAAATCCCCACCGTGCCGCTGTCCCACTCCTGGGTCCCTTAGGAGAAGCATCGGTGGGTACTCACCCGGTCCTGCCGTGGGGGGCTCTGACGCCTGTCCCCCGAGTCAGAAAGCCACCGCCGCCACCGTCCGCAAGTTTCTCCTCCACTGAGGTGACACCCTCGCGTCTTATTGCGAGTGCTCTCCCCGCCACCAGCCCACGGCTGGGCGATGCTCTCACCAAGTTGCACAATGTCCCCGTCCATCAGCAGATGCACCTCCTGAAAGCAGCCGCCTGCCAGAGAGTTTTATCTGATTTCTGCAACTGGTCTGCACCCAGTTAAGCGTATTTTGCTTGGGTTTAAAATTGCCAAAGAATTGAGGGCGCGTAGGAATTATGGCGCAGGTGTGGTCTAAAGACTGGGTGCGTTGTGTGCAATGTGAGCAGACACTTGAGTGGATGCAGTGATACCCCCTGTGGCTTCCCATTGCCCCTTTTCCTGATGGAAAGCACTCTAGCTCAGTGCAACCTGGTTTTGCAGCACTTTGGAATGATATCACTACTTTTTATATCTTTCTATAACATTTAAAATTATTTAATGTGATCTTTTTGTAAGACAGAGCCTCTCTCTCTCCATTGATTTCAAGGAATGTGAAGCGTTCGGCACCTCTGCACATGCCCTAGGTGCCAGCTCTGCTTCTGGTTCAGTCCGCCAATGTCCAGGCATGTGGTCCCATCGTCACTTGGTCTGTGAAGGATGGCACGGAGCAGCGTGCTGCTTGCGGTACTATTTTTGCAACAGAGTGGGAGTCGCAAAAAAATGGGAGTAACGCCTACACTGTTTGTGTCTACTCCAGTTCTTATCTCTATTTCACAGTCAATATGTTTCACAACCTTAAAATATACCTCAAAATTTAGGGGGGAAAAAGTTACTAGCGGTGTGCTGCCATCATCTCCCTTGCAGAACCGGAGCTTCGCAGGGACCAGCTTTCTGCCATGCAGCATGTTCCCAAATCCAGCATTGCGGGGGGAGTAAAAATCCTTCGGTGGGCATGGCCTGGAGAAAAGGGCACCCAGAGGGATGCTCAGGAAGTGCAAGCTGGTTTATTTGCAAAGCAGCTCACTTTGTCAGACCCACCAAGCCGCGAGCACACCTTCTTTCAGTGCCAGGTGCCGGGTTGCTGCCGTGTAAGGGGTGATCTTAGCCCACAGGCGATGCATGCCCATGATGGATGCAGGTGCAAGGTATTTTCTCACAGCACCAATGAGCAGCTTTTGGACTCTGCCTTCCTGGCCAGGAGCCTGAATGAGAAGCAATTTGGCTGCCGAGCGTCCCTGTTTAAACTGTCTGTAATTATTTTCCAGAAGTGCATTCCCACGTGGAGAAGCAGCAGCCATCGTGGGGGCATTCTCTGACTCAGCAGAAATCGCTGAAAAACATTGTTTATGGATGAAAGCTGCCGGGCACCAGCAAAGTGGCAGGTACAAAGGTGTGCAGCTGTGGCAGGCTTTGGGACGAGCCAGGTGGAGCTTGGTCCTGTGCGGTGGCGTTTGCACTGCGGGGCTGAGCAGCTGATTCGGCTGCTGGATGCCGATGGATGCTGCTGGATGCAGCCGAGCAAAGGGATAAAGGCAAAACAAAATGCCCATCTCCGATGGGGGCAAAGATGATGGCAAAGGATAGAAAATTGAAAAGGGCGCTGGATATAAGAGGGAAGTTTTGGGTTAGCTGCAGGGTTGCTGTGTTACTGCGTCTCTGAGAGCCAGCACCTAGGAACACACAATACGCCCTTGAGGTATTTGGGCAAGGGGATGGTACTAGAGGCAGATTTTTGGGAAGATGCTCTGTAAGCATCTTTTGGTCCTTTGTCAGGTAACCCAGAGGTAGATACTTAGAGTGGTTAAGACCTTTGCTTGTGACACCCAGCAGGATTAAACATAGGAAGGAAGAGAGCAAAAAGGAAGCGGTGCCCTCAAATGCGAACAGAGCCCAGGCAGGCATCAGAAATCTCTGCCCAGACCTGCCACCCGCATCGGTGCTGACTCACACGAGCTGCTGAGCTGCCCTCATATTTTATTAGGTATCTTCGCTTTTGCTGTGTCTCTCCAGTAAGGTCAGCACTCTGGAAAATTCAGATTTAGAGGCAAAGATTTAATGGGGGTAGCTCTCCTCCCTTCAAGTACCTGCTACCATCAGCTGGTGTAGCACATTTTCTCATGCCACAGTGCAGCCGTGGCTGTGTGGATGTATCCTTGTCCCACCTTTGCTTGCCCCCAGCTTGCTCAGGTCAGAGTCCTTCCCTGCCCTCGCAGACTTGCCGATTTTAACCGAGCGTCACCCACAGAGTCGAATGTTATTGAAGACTGTTCAGGCGCAGGAAGAGGAAGCGAGGTGAAAACTGCAGCAGAGCTAAAATGATTAATGGGACACCGCTCTCAGAACAGCTTGGTTTGTGATATTAATAATGAGAGAATTCAGGAGGGAACCTAACCTGTTTCAAGCTGCGGAGCCGGCAGCAGCAGGAGACGCAGTTAGGAAGCTCCTGTGCTCATATTTGTAACGCAGGAGGAATCAAGTGGGCTCAGCAACGTGTGATGCTGCATGGAGCGAGTGTAGGGGCTGAGACATGCTTCCACCCTGCAGGGCTCATTCTGAACCGGTCTGAATTGCAAAGAAAGCGTGCAGTCATAAATACATCATGATGTATCCAGAAAGCACATAGATGTCCATCAAAAATTACTTAAGCTTGAGAATGGTGAGCTAAACAGGGAAAATAATGTTTATCCCACAGGGGAAGAAGACATAGAAAAGGAAATACTTAGTGGGAATTAATTTGCTTACAGGGTAAGAATAATTCTATGTGCTGTTTCACATTTTCTTCCTAAGCATTCATGTCTGGCGATGGTGAGAGATGGGATACAGGCTGGGTGGACACCTGGCCCCACGTTTCGCTGTTCACCACAAGGAAAGAAGGAACCCGAAACCTTACTAATAGCAGCAGATAAACAATTCAGAAAGTAGACAAATTTGGGGCATACCAGCTACTGAAAGCAGAGGGAAAATATAAGACTGCCCATGCTGCTGTGCTTGAAGGGGTTTTGCCAGTCAATCAGTCTGTCGATGGAATTTCTTTTTTTATCCCATGGCGTACCTGGGCAGACGGGGTGAGAAGGAGAGAGCACATCCTTTGCGCAACCAAACCATGGCAGCCGGTCCAGCCCAAGGCCTTGAGAGACGGCTGAGCCTGCAGCATCCTTAGGGATGCTGTACTGTTGTCACAGGTTTCTCCTACGGGTCCCTTGTGCCAAATCCTTAGAAAAAAAGACTTCCAGTCCTGGGAAAAAGGAAGAAGGCCAAAAGCAAGAGCACCCAGAGCAACCTGCCATGGAGTTGTTTATCACGTGGGCAAAGCAGGCTCTGCCTGGGTGGCTCTGGCTCTCGTGT